TATATATATTATATATATATATATATATATATATATATATATATATATATATATATATATATATATATATGCATATGTATATATGTATATCCATACTTAACGGCATACTATGCATTAAAACTGACCTGGTAGGCCGTAAGAGTTTGGCTTCTCTAAACAAAAAAAGCTAAGGCATCGTCGCAAGACAGTTGTTTGAAACACTCTGCTTAAACAAAACAATGAGCGAACGCGAGGCTATTTCCACAGGAATTGAGCCAAAAAGCCTTCTACTGTGACCTTGATTTCTCCCCATGGCGTATACCGCACCGACTCTTTTCGAGGCGCACTGTGGCTTTGGGAATGGAGGCATCACATCGTGCATAGTAACAAACTGGTTCAGAATTCATCGAATCCGCTTCTTGGTGGCAGGTCATTGCCACCCACTGGGCCAACCGCAAACGTTCTTTTCCCGCAACAGCAGAGGTGCCACGGCGTTTGTCATGGCAGCGATGGCGACCGCAGGGAAGAAGTGCAGTGCTGTTGCCAAGCGCTGACAGCGTCATTTGGACTAGAAAACAATTCAGATTGATATCCTTATCATCTTTTGACAGTGCTGCAGTGCCACTGCCCAGTCCTATCGTTACACATAACTGGTTCTAACTGGTTCATAACTGGTTCATAACTGGTTCACCAGAGCATGTCGTTGAAACACGCTCAAATGTTAAAACACTCCCACCACTCCCACCAACACTTGAACCCTATGGGCTGGTAGGAGAAATACGCCATAGAGCGGTTGTCCTGCCACCGTACTTCGGCGGCGGCTTGGTGCAAAGCGTGTCGCGATGCGTCGATGTGTTTTACCGCAACGCCCTTGGAAGGTGGATACAGACACGCACATGGACGACAGTCCGACCTTTTCTGAGAGGCCACCGGGTGCCGCTGAGGAGAGCATTGAAAGAGAAACGAACAGGAGCTGAAGGACTGAAAGACTTGGGAAGACCCGTAAGCCTGTGAGGGACACTCGCGGAGCGGCAAATTGGCGGCTTCACATCCGACGCCCACAGAGATGGCTTTCTTCTTTGCAGAGGAGACCCAAACTTACAGCTCTATTGACAAACCAAGTGGACTGCTGCCCGCAGGGACGGCTGGGGGAGTTGGAGGGGGAGGCGAGGCGGCGGACCGAAGACGGTTGGCCGGCCAAGATCGACCAGGCGTGTGCTGAGAACCGCTGAGCCTGAACCATCCACCGCCGACGCCGGAACCGTGGCCTTCATCCTCCCCGACCGCATGTACACCTGTCGTCCTCCAGAACCATGGCCTTCATCCTCCCCGACCGCATGTACACCTGTCGTCCTCCAGAACCGTGGCCTTCATCCTCCCCGACCGCATGTACACCTGTCGTCCTCCAGAACCATGGCCTTCATCCTCCCCGACCTCATGTACACCTGTCGTCCTCCAGAACCATGGCCTTCATCCTCCCCGACCTCATGTACACCTGTCGTCCTCCAGAACCATGGCCTTCATCCTCCCCGACAGCATGTACACCTGTCGTCCTCCAGAACCATGGCCACCATCCTCCCCGACCTCATGTACACCTGTCGTCCTCCTTGGAGACCCGACCTCACGTGCACCTGTCGTCCCCTCAGGTGATGGCTGCTAGCTAGCGATGTCATGCGAGTCACGCGGATGACTACACCCACGTTGCGGTGCAAAGGTCGATGGCAGTGAGCCGACAGCGCCACCTTGTGAGAGCGAACCGCGCAAGGCGGACAGCATGGGCGACACCGGCGGGAAGTGCGCCTCGGGCGGCAGTTCCGCCGCGTCAGTTCCGTCGCGGCAGTTCTGTCCGCGCCGCGCCGGCCGACGATGAGCGATTCGCATACACAGGGCGCCCGGTGCCGTAAGCAAAGCTGCCTAATATTAGACGTGAGGTGGCCAGATGTGAGCGGCTTGGAGATCTGAGGAGCTGGGAAGGCACGCAGAGAGTTGGGGAATCAGGGGGGGGGGGGGCCTCCAGGCGAACGGTAGGGGATCGGTGATCGCAACGTCGCAGGCGCGAAACACACTGCCGGCTGTGTTTTAGTGTTGCTGTTACTTTCCGTTGTGAACACGATACAGTGTGGCAATCTGGGTGAATGGGCACAGTAGCAGAGCGCTCCAATCTAACCGTCCTCCCTCACAACCACCAAAAAGCAATCTGTTGGCATCGCCGAGAGAAAGTACGCGACCCAGACGTCCGCCGCCGCTGTGGGTCACACCTCCAGCTGTCTCTGACCGGCGGCGGACACCCGGCCCGGCAACGTCACTCAGTCGTCCCTGGAAGCCCTACGACTACGACTTAGCTGCCCCCTGGGAGCCCTGCGACGAACGCTTGATTTAAAAAATGGAAAATTTTGAATGCCTGCCACATGGTATCAATCATTGACTCTGATATAAGATGTTGATCTGATATAAGACATTGATTCTGATATGAGATGTTAACTCTGATCCAAGCCTGGAAAAGCTTGGGATGATATGTGCTCTTTCACGCCTCGTTTGAACTACCATCTGACGGTGGAGAGAGAATGCTCAGAAGACAGGGCTCTGTGTCTTTAGTTGGACGACCGCACAAGCAAGAGGGACTAAGTGTTTTTGAGTTTGGAATTTCGTTCACATGACCGTTGAGGTCTGGCTTTGTATATTTTCCAGCTTGCCTCCAAAGCTGTGATGAATACAAAGTGCAGTCTCAGCCCACAACGCCAGTGTATTTCCTGTTCAATAAAGCAAGAAGACCAGCAGCAGAGAACTCCACGGGTTGGGTAAATACATGGACATTCATGCGAGATGGTTTGCAGGTTGGGTTGAAACCATACTGAATACAAATTAGAAAAAGTGAAAAGATGGGCTGGTTGATGGCAAGGTCAGTGGAATATAGTTTTGCACAATTTAAATAATCATTTATTATGTTATAGTCACTCAAAGATGTCTTTGTTAGATGACCTCTTTAACCACTGGCATGCTATTTCTCAAAATTGTACAATTAGGTTCAGGGAATAAGACAACCGTCTGGAAGAACCTTCATCAAAATCTAAAATATTTTGTGTTAGGCCCCTCTCGACTTGTCGTGGGTCGAACCTCGATTGTTGACTGTCGATTGTTGACTGTCGATTGTTGACTGTCGATTGTTGACTGTCGATTGTTGACTGTCGATTGTTGACTGTCGATTGTTGACTGTCGATTGTTGATTGTCGATTGTTGACTGTCGATTGTTGATTGTCGATTGTTGACTGTCGATTGTTGATTGTCGATTGAACCCTGCTCCAGTCCAGGGTTTTCCTAGTGAGGCCAACATCTACTAAAAATGCGTAGATCGTTTCGATCCTACAGACCCTATTACGCGCCCGTATCTACAGATCTCAATGGCACAATCGTTTCTGTAAACATCTGCCTCCAACCGTCCGGCTTTATGGCACTGCGATTCCAGCCTGGCGTTCGCACCGCACTGCGCGATACTCCGAGCCACATACGGCGTTCAAGGGGAGACTAATGCAGCGCCAGTACCCCAATACGGCGTTAAAGGTGCGACTAATGCGGCGTCAGTACCCCAATACGGCGTTAAAGGTGCGACTAATGCGGCGCCAGTACCCCAATACGGCGTTAAAGGTGCGGTTAATGCGGCGCCAGTACCCCAATACGGCGTTAAGGGTGCGACTAATGCGGCGCCAGTACCCCAATACGGCGTTAAAGGTGCGACTTATGCGGTGCCAGTATTAGACAATGAGCCTGAGCGTCCGGAATATGGGAGGGGGTGGGGGCAAATACGTTCTCCCACTTACGATACTCTCCACGGACAGCATGGAAGCAACCTGTAGTTAAAGGGATTATGCCATATTTTTGTACTGGTCAACTGTTGTTAGATCAGGCAAGTACGATCCTATGAGTATCACCCATTTTCTCGAAATCCTTCAGAACAGTTCTAAATTTCTATTTGAACTAGCGGCTCCTACGGGAGAAATTTCACTGGACTCCTTGCTCACCACCATGAAAGTAGCGCATTGCATTTGCATTGCCTTTTTATGTATGTGCCGGGTATGTATGCGCTATGTATGTGCATTTCTAGTGTATGTGCTGGAATGTTCGTTAAACACAACCTTGCCAAAAAGTTTGTGTAATAAGAGCTACGGAAGCTTGACACACCATTTATACCAAAATGTATGCAAAAATGAAGTTATTACCTCACGAATTGAACGAAATGTTATGCTATGCTTTGATTTCTCCCACGTGGCGTTTACCGTAATAGCTCTTTTCAAGCCGCACTTTGGCTTTGAGAATGGGGGCATCACATGGTCCATAGTAAAACACTAGTTCAAACTTGAATGCACTTCTTGGTGGGCCCTTGCCGACCGCTGGGCCAATCATAAACGTTCTTGTATTCACACCAGCGGGAGTGCAACGGCAGTTGTCATGAACGGTTGTCCGACGGCGGGCGCCACTCCAGAGAAGAAGCGTCGTGCTGTTACGAAGCCTTGGCTGCGTTATTTGGGCTAGAGAATAGTTTAAAATGATATCCTTAGCATGCATTGACGGTGCTGTAGTGGCACTACCATGTGCTTTTATTCGACGTAACTAGCTTTGAGGTTTCACTTGGGTATGTTTTTTGAAACATAACCCAAAGGTGGGACACTCCGTTTAAAGCCCACGCTCCAGAAATGCGATGCAATACCGCGTGCGATGCCGGATGCGTCACGATGCTATGCCAGTTGCAAACCCAGTCAGACTCCACACCTAACTTGAGTCTTCGTTCCGCGTCATGCAAGTCTCGTGAGAAAAGTACATTTTCGCATGATCAGAATGCGCCGGGATCATCGTATCTTCAAGTGGGATCAAGCCTGCGCCGTAAGTCAAGAGCCTGGCAACTGCGCCAACGCAGTTAAAAATAATCACCTGCGTTAAATCGGCGCCCGTAAAAGCGTACGCTGGCAGCGCGCTCGGCCCCTTATCACAGCAGTCGCTCTCTCGCCGGCCGCCTCCCACTCACATGGGTTGTTTGTCCGCTGGCACTGGGCCACGCTGGGCGGCACCGCCCCTGTCGCTCCCACCCGCAGTCTCGGGCTGGCCTGGCGCGGGAGAGGAGCGGTATCGTCCGATCTCCGTCGACACCAGACACCACCCCACAGCATGGCAGGTGAGAAGGCCACGCGTGCAGCGTGACATCACTGTGTGACGCTGCGCGCTCAGAGCGGGCTCGGTGAGAAGATGGGGCCCGTTGAGAAGATGTGCGCGCCCGGAGTGGGCCCGGTGAAAGGATGTGCGTGTCCGGAGTGGGCCCGGTGAGAGGATGTGCGCGCCCGGAGTGGGCCCGGTAAGGGGATGTGCGCGCCCGGAGTGGGGACCGGTAGGATGTGCTGCGCCCGGAGTGGGCCCGGTAAGAGGATGTGCGCGCCGGATTGGGCCCGGTAAGAGGATGTGCGCGCCCGGAGTGGGCCCGGTAAGAGGATGTGCGCGCCCGGAGTGGGTCGGTAAGAGGATGTGCGCGCCCGGAGTGGGCCCCGGTAAGAGGATGTGCGCGCCGGAGTGGGCCCGGTAAGAGGATGTCCGCGCCCGGAGTGGGCCCGGTGAGAGGATGTGCGCGCCCGGAGTGGGCCCGGTAAGAGGATGTGCGCGCCCGGAGTGGGCCCGGTAAGAGGATGTGCGCGCCCGGAGTGGGCCCGGTAAGAGGATGTGCGCGCCCGGAGTGGGCCCGGTAAGAGGATGTGCGCGCCCGGAGTGGGCCCGGTAAGAGGATGTGCGCGCCCGGAGTGGGCCCGGTGAGAGGACGTGCGCGCCCGGAGTGGGCCCGGTGAGAGGACGTGCGCGCCCGGAGCGGGCCCGGTAAGAGGATGTGCGCGCCCGGAGTGGGCCCGGTAAGAGGATGTGCGCGCCCGGAGTGGGCCCGGTAAGAGGATGTGCGCGCCCGGAGTGGACCCGGTAAGAGGATGTGCGCGCCCGGAGTGGACCCGGTAAGAGGATGTGCGCGCCCGGAGTGGGCCCGGTGAGAGACGTGCAGGCTTGGAGCGGGCCCTGAGAGGATGTGTGGCCACGTACAATCACGCATGCGCGCCGCTCAGTCTGCGGCGTGTCACGTCGGATCCGGCGTTGGGAGCCAGTGGCGTTGTTAGGGATTTACAACGCACTCAACTGCTGAGGCTGTATTGTGTCGCCTGCCCCTCATCCTGGCAGGAGGGGCGGGTACCGCTGAGGTCGTGCGTGCGTGCGAGTGTGCGTGTGTGCGTGCGTGTTTGTGTGCTTGTTTCTGACTTTTGAGATGAGCTAGAGTCGGATGCCCGGCACGTTCGAAGGAAACTACGCTTTTGGTAAGGCAGACTTGACTGGAGTAAGCTTCGTGGGATTCGGGGATTTTTTTAGAAAATAGCACGTTGAAAAATTATCTCCAGAGGGTTTTCGGGGGGCAACCTTCTAAAATGGATCGCAATGATGCTACAAACAGTACATTCAAGGAGTCTTTGTTAGTTTTTACTCATTAGTTGGCATTTCCAAGTAGGTCGTGCTGTCCCTTTTAGGAGACTGAAAATTCAGAACAGTCGTTTTTGACCCTTCACAAGGAGTTTATTGGATAACGTCATGACACTCTAGGCTTTAGCGAGGTCTACTACTGCTCATTGGCTCCAATACCAAGGAGCACCATCAGGAGTTCAGGACAAATTATGCGGCTGGCGGGGGTGGACTGCTGAAAATGGATACAAATAACCCTGAGTACCTCGCGGTTAAAAACAGCGCGTGTTATAAATATTCTGACTTCATTTATATCGCAATGATATTGGCATCAACATTCAACCACGAATATGCTACTGAAAGTTTAAAAGATTGTAAGTGGGGACGCCTACCCCCATGCGCTTTATCTGAGTATTCCTCCCGCCCTGATAGCTGCGGAGTTTTTGTGGGAGAAACCAACTTTTATTGGCTTTACTTTTATATTATGTTTATCTTCTTGGCTTTATTGCCAACTGACACAGTTGCTGTCAGCAGTCTACATTTCGCTCTTTGCCTTTATGTTTCATACGCAGCTGTAAATCGTGATCTGCTGATCGAAGCGTGCATCTCTTTTTATTTCAGCCTATTATCGTAACGTTTCATTTCAGTTAAGTTTCAACACGTGGTGTGTTTTGGCGGCCAGAGTTATAACTGATGCTACATACATCTGTCTTGATGCTACATCTGTCTTGCATGCTACATAGCGCGAGCCCGTTACGAAGATATCCTTGAGCGGTTGAAAAGGATTTAAAGAAAGTATAACCTTATTTGCAGAGTGAGCAGGCCAATGTACCACCATCCATGGTGTCAAAAGACTTCGTGACACTCTCCTTAAAAGTGTATCCAAGAAATTGTTTGCTTCGCCTTTCTTTTTTCCAACTAACCCATGCCCCTCATGGAGGAGCATGGGTACAATACAAATATTAGAGGGAATGCTTAACCTATGAAGATGTTGAAGCAAGCATCAGATCTGACGAAATAAGCTTGCTTACAACCATTAATATACTTTTCAGTGGAAATTTGATTTGACTGATTGATTACGCCATCGCGCCTCGTACAATATTGATTGAGAGCCAATTTACATCCATTTTATCAAGTAATCGTGCTAATGAATGCCCGAAATGAACGACTTATATTTTTTTTTTTTTACTTTGATCGCCACACGACCAAGAGAATAACAACATTTGGAACGCATTATTGTGGCGTCATGAATTCCTAGGCAACCTGGAAACAGTCTCCCCAAAAACGTCTACATCTTCGCGGACGTATAGCTCAGAAACTAAAAGGGCTTAGGACTTAGAAGGGCAGAGCTGTGGGCTGTACTGAATGATCTTTAAGATGGCTATTTCACTTCAAGACCCCATACAAATGTGGAACACGCCCTTTAAGGCGACCGGCGATGTCTGTCTGTTTAACGGAGTCACTCAATATGAAGAATGAATTCCGTCTAACAAATGACGCCCGGTGTGCCGTCAGAGCTTCAGTGGGCCGCGGGCTCGGGCGGATCCGTGCCGGAGGGCGCCGTAGCCTGCGAAGGCTCGTACGTCGGCCGGGCCCACCACGACAACGGCATCATCGTCGGCCCCGTCGTCTGCGGCGACGGCTGCTGCGCCATCGGCTACTGCGGAGAACGCTTCACCAAAGACGAGTACGAGGTGAGAGCTGGCTCACCAAGGACGAGTGCGCGGTGATGCCTGGTTTACCACGGACGAGGACAAAGGGGAACTGGTCCATGTCTGTTTACTGAGGACTCGGTGAAACACCCTGACAAAAAACAAACAAATGAGGTGGGTGCCAGTTCATAGCGATGAATAAGAGGTTATGGCTGGAGCAACGACACGAGCACGACATACCAACTGACTCACTAAGGACGCATGCTGATGGGTGCTGGTTTATCGGGCAACGTGTTTGTATCTGGAGCAACCATCATTCAGGCTGGGGAGAGGGGTGAATAATTCAGACAATGCTTTGCTTATCTACATCTATCTTCAAAACAACCAAAAAAGAATCGTCGCAGGTACCACTGAAGCCCACGTAAATATCCAATCCAGCTGACGCGTCCTTAAAACTCAATACTACTGGAGTCCAACAGGAACCTAAACTTGCTGGGCCTGCTCCAGATGGCAGCACATGCTCTGTATACAGTTCTTTTAGCACGCTGCACATCGCTTGACATCGCCATTATTCGCCAGGTGCTGCTGGAGCCCACGGACGGGAGGCGTCTCCGCTGGGAGCCCTTCAGAGGCGAGATGCCCGAGGGGGCCGTGAAGGGGGGCTACCTCTGCTCGGGACACACGCTGTATGTGGGACGTGCCTGGAAGGATGGCAAACTGCTTGTCGGCCATGTGAGTCCCTCTATTCGTCCCTTCTATCCATATCTTGCTTCATCCTGCATCCTTGCGACACCCCGCTCGTCCGTGGCAGGCTGCATGCGTCAGCCACGAGTGGGCAGAGACAACGTGGGAAGGGGGACTCCGACCGGGTACCCAGCGCGCATGCGCAGGTTAAAGCTCGACGGTTGGCCCCCCCAGGCGCGTGTAAGTTTGCCCACCGTTGACCAGTTTCATTCATCCCATAGCCCTGAAATAACCATTTCTGGTCGGAAGGGCTCTAATAAAACACATCTTTCTACATAATGACCAGCGTGCCTGTCTCTGGAATCCAGTCCTGTATGGCTGGAACAGAGCTTTTTGGGTGATCTGGGGACTGGACGGCCAATGGGGACCGTTTCGTTGAGAGTAAACAGTTTCTCGTTGGCAATCGGCAAATTGCTGCTCGCCGACTGTGTGAAGCAGAACAAAGTCGAAACGGAAGGCACAAACGACCGTTTCACTGCGGAACCATTTGTCCTGTCCCCCCCCCCCCTGAACGGTTTTTTGAGTAAAGCGTTACGATTGTCATGTTTAGTGTAATCTATGCTATAATTGCGATCACCCAGCATTCCTTTTCCAAGAACAAATAATCAGCCAGATCTGCAGGAACTATTGATCGCCTGACACTAACGTTCGCGAGACCAAGTCCCTGCAGCGTGCGAAATTGCACGGTTCTGCAAAATGTTTGGAGTGAGGTGTAAGTTCAGGTGGGGGAACTGCTCCAACATTGTCCTTACTAGCGTTGGCGTGGCTCACACGTTTCGACCAACTTTTTGCCTCGGCCGTATCAGTCGGCTCTGATAAGGACCTGGGCTTGCTTGGCGTGCGGCGCTGTGTATATCGTAGTCCCGCAGACATTCCACGGCTTCGAGTCTCATGCGCACGATTTTGCAATTCGTTTCGGTTTATCGATTTTGCGATAGGCCAAGACCTTGATTAGTACACTGTCGAAAAGGACCTTCATTGCACCATTAGAAGACTTGCCTGGAAGGACGGCAAACTGCTTGTCGCCGTGTGAGCTTTTCTATCCGTCCCTTCTATCCCTATCTTGCTTCATCCTGCAGCCTCGCGACACTCCGCTTGTCCGGGGCAGGCTGCATGCGTCAGCCACAAGTGGGCTGAGACCCCGTGGGAAGGGGGACTCTGACCGGGTACCCAGCGCGCATGCGCGGGTTAAAGCTCGGCGGTTGACCCCCACACATTAAAATACACCACCGAGGAGAACGCAGAATCCTTGTCTACTAATCGCCAAATCGTTGGTTTGAGGCTCGGTCTTTTTTCAAAGCTCCGAGTCGCGAATGCCCCGAGACTCTGGGCGCAAACATCTTCAAATTATTTTCAGTCCACCTGGTTATCTGGGGACGACCGGAGAGCCGGCCATCCCAAACGCCACGTGATCAACAGCTCCCTTGACGAGGTCAATAAACCCCAAAAAGCCTGACCAAAGCACGTTTACTATGTACACTTGGCGGTAAAGTGTTCTCTGAAGCTCAGACGGAAAGCCACCGATCGAAACCAGCCGGCACCACGCCAACGCGCGTCGAGTTATAGAAGGTCAGCACTCACTTGCGCTAGGTCAAGTTACGCTTGTTGGCGCCGCTTCGGGGCATCATGTGCAGCTCATTACAAAGCGGTGTTTTGCCGGGGGACGGCAAACTGTGCGGTGGTGGCGACGGATCAATGCAGGATGGCTATCATCGATGCCACCAAGCTCTTAAGGCTGTGGCGGTTCGACAAATGACGACAAATCAAACTGCACTGATTGCAGGATGGCGCCTGTTTTTCGTCATAAATTGCTCCTGTCGTTAGAGACAGATACTTTGCGTGTATGTCGATCTGGCCTTGCTCGGGACTGGACCTGCTGCTGCAGGACCGCTCGGCAGTTCATGCAGGTTCTCTTGTGAACGAATCTGCTCATCTAATCGGGCGTCAGTCCGAATGCCGCTGATGGTTCAGAGATCGTACTTCGACTCCTGGCGTTTCGCTGCGTAGGCTGTCGTCCAGAGATCTGCGATCAGGGTTATCATTCCGCTTGTCAAAACAGTGAGCAAAACAGGAAAGCATCCCAAAACAGTGTGGGCCTTTTGGTGTTTTCCGGCCCGCAGCCGAGGCACGTGACGGTCATTCACGGACTGCTTAACCCTTCACTAGGAGGCATTCTAGGTCTTAAGTTATTCGGCTTAAAACCCGAAATCTCGATTGCTTTCAGAGTCCGCCTTTTGACATCTGAGGATCATTTTATTTACATTCTGCTGTAAACCAACACCATGCGACTGAATAAGCCCATGTTCACATCGCTGAAACAAACCAACGCTGCGAGACTGAATACTATCCTGAGCCTATTCCTCTGCCAATTAAAGAGTGTCCCGCCTTGGGGGCATAATTCAAAAATATGCTGTAGACAAACCTCAGTACTAGTAACGTCCAATAAAAACACTGGGTACTGCCTCTGCAGCACCGTCAAGGCATAATAAGGACATCAATTTTGATTACTGTCGAGTCCAAATTACGCTGGCAATACTTCGTAGCAGCATTACGCGTCTTCCTCGCAGTCGCGACCACTGTCGTCATGACAACGATCGTGCGCACCTCTTCCGGCGCGAATAAAAGAACGTTTATGATCGGCTCAGCGGCGACGGCCTGCTGTCGAGAAGCGATTGGTTAAAGTTTGAACTAGTGCGTCAAATGGATCATGTGATACTCCCATTCCCGACACCAAGATGCGCTTCGATAATGGCGCTGCGCGAGCGTCATAGGGGAAAAATCAGGGCTACGCCGTAACGTTTCCTTGAAATCGAGAGGTAATAGTTTCGAGTTCGCACATGTTTTGTCTAATTGGCGTTTCAAGCTTAAGTAGCACTTGCTACACAAGTATTTTGGCACGTAAGTGTGTTGCAAACATTACAGAACACGCACGTTGGAAAACTGCGAATTATATGTACTTCTTTCATAGCGGTGAGCAGGCAGTCAAATGAGACTTCTGCCACACCGTCGGGAGAAGTCTCATTTTGGCTATTTCAAATCGAAATTCCGGGCTAGTCAGGAAGATTTTGCGAATATTGTTGTTGCTGACCAAATCGTGCACGTCTGATGTAACAATAAGTGCAACAGAAAACATGTGAGATGCTTCCTTTAAAGAGAGCATCTCACATCTGCATGCGGTTTTGAACTGAAATAGCCATCTTGAAGTTCATTTGGTGTCGGTTATATTCTTGTCTTTCTTAAAACCTATGTCCATCTAGTTTCGGAGCCACGCGCCCGCCAAGGCACGGGGACTTTTCCGTGCATACTTTTTTAAGGTCACCCAGGCATTCATGACGCCACAATAACGTCATTGAAATCCTGCCATTCCTTTCCTTGGCTCATGCGGCGATGATCAAGGCCACAAAGAACACTGTCGAGTCGCTCATATCTGTGTTCATGAGCACGATTTTCAGATATGATGGCCGTCAATTAGCCCTCAGTCAATGTTGTGCAAGGTACGATAACGCAATCAAATAAGGGTGTGTTGAGGAAATGATGGTGTGTTGAGGAATCAAATAATGGTGTGTTTGCTAAAAGAGAGGTCGTGTTGTCGTGAATTGTCTTTCCCACATAAAAGTATACCAAAAGATGTAAGTGAGCTTATTTCATCATGCATGATGTCTCTTCCAATTCATTCATATGTACAGCGTTCCCTTCAACATCCTGCCAGCTGTTTCACTCTTGTGCACACCCCTGTCACAGATCAACACCGTGGACAAGGTATGCTGCGTTCCGTCCGAGGACCAGTGCTTCGACTGCAGCGACTTCTTCGTCCTGGTCGCCTACTGATCCCCGCACAGGGAAACAGGCGGCGAGCCGACCAGGATCAGCGCGGATCGCGACGAATCGAAGGAGGATCAAGGACCCATGGCTTCGTTGCTTGGGCAAATTTTCGCGGGACATGCTTAACCACGTGGATCTGTGAGGTTAACACGTTTCCTGCCTGGGTCTTGCAGTGCTCATGCGCGTCTTACTGCGCAGCTGTCGCTGTGTTTAACATGCGAATGTTCTCGTCCGCCTTATGACCATTTTGTCATGGGAAATAGAACAAAACGTTGGACTATGTCTCGTGTTTCTTGCCCAGAGCAGCACGATGTCAAAACCAAGTCATATTTCGTTGGCGCCCAAAGATTGGAACCCACTTTTCAAGATGTTTGCATTTGCTTTTGCCCTGGTTTACGCAACACTCTGCAGAAAAGTTTCCAAGAAAAAAATATCGTTGTTTCGAAAGCAATCGATCTACAATAGCCTGAGAGATATTTGTGGAAAAGAAGATTAATGCAGGCACTATAGGGACCAGGAGTATCTGTGACACAAGTCCGGCGAGAACATTTGACTATTTGCACAAGATATTTCAATGATTGCCTACTACTTTTGGCCAGCCATGAGCAGGTCGGTCACCGTCAGCATGAGAACACATTCCGCCGATGCATAAGAACCTTCCTGTCATCGCAATGCCCTCATTTACTGTCACTGCCAGCGATCTGTGATTGGTCTGACGTCCGAAGGAAAAATCGCATCGATCACCTCAGCTAAGTGTTGACCATTCTGGTTCACGCTCCGTGAAGGAAACGTTCCACATTTGACGATATTAAAACAAGACCCAGATATGATGAAATTAACTTACAACCATTGGTGGACGCTGAAGTGGAATAGACTGTTCTAGACAACAAAACGAGAAGGCGCTGTCCCGTCTCCGGCCGCCGCCGGTGAATGTTTCAAGGTCAAATGGCCGTCTGTACACGTGTCATGGTCCGCATTTTACTGCCTCCGACCGAGTAGGCAATACTGCATCGATATTCATGTGCCCCGCAAAATGGTACGATCGCACGTATCACGCATCACGCGCACAAAGGTGGATTTCGCTCTCTTCTACGGGCTTACACATTTTGTGCCACATCTCGACATCCAGGACACGGTCACACTGGGGAGTGGCATGCTTCGACATGGAATGGAACGGACCAGATGACAAAAGTTGATCACTCGTGTAACGTGTGATATCGCTCACGTGTTGAACTATGGATTTGGCTATATCGAAGGGCACAGACGTTTTTGCGATATCTCGGCACTCAGGGCATACAGCGATCCGAGTGAAGCACGCTTCGATAAGGTATCGAATGGAAAAAGTACTTTTCCAAATGGCCCGGTCACACGCACCACGTATCACGCACACACATCCTGGTAACATGGATTTTAAAGTTTATGCCAATTTTCACGTTTTGCACCACATCTCGCACCTAGGCTACGAAGCGGTTTGGGCATGGTATGCGTCAATAGTGCATTGGACGGGCCATTGTGAGCTCCCGAGCTTTCAGTCGCACGGGCCACGTGTAGCGCCTTCACGAGCCGGCAAGGTGCATTTTGCTGTTTTCAACGATGGTGACGCTTTTAGGTCTCGGCGCCCAGGGCTTGGGGCCACGCGGGAGTGGTATGCCTTCATAAGGAATGCCACTGTCAGTAGGCTGGTGGAAATATTACCTCACACATGTCAACGTGTCATGACACCCGTGTTGGACAGTGGACTTGGAAATTTTCGACGGACGTACACGTTTTCGCGACATTTGGGTACCCAGGAAACGAAACGTTTTGAGAGTGGAATAGAGCGAGCCAGGAAGTCATACTTGGCAGTTACCGACCGTTTTTGACGTTTTGCGCCATATCTCGGCACTTGAGCAGCTGGGGGCATAAATCACACCGTAAACGACCCGTAATCAAAACCCATGTGTCTTTCACAAGCGCAGCATAGGTAGCACACACTTGTGGTTTACTGACTGATCACAAAATATTCTGGAATTCAGTCACAGAAGCTCACAGGTAGGGCGCCCAGGTTTGGTGCTAGGGACCGCGCAGGTATCGTGTTAGGGAGTTAAGGGAGTTTACTTGGGGAGTTCAGGCTGCTCAGTAATGAATTTTTGAATCAATTGCAAGAAATTGCGGGATGCTGGAGAGCGATTTAAAGTACAAAAACGCCATGTAGCTCCAGAACTACCTCCATTCTTCTCGCTAAAATTGAGTCTCGAAAGTAACAATCACTGCAAAATTGCACAAATTGTTGCACGGCGCGCAGCGCGTTGCTACGCAACCACAATCAGCACATAAGCCTCCAATAGCCACGGCTCGATCAGTACAACGGTGCTGGGCCTGGGGCCTAGCTCATAATTTGCATCAAGCTGGTGATTCGGAACCGAGTCTGACTCACCTGTGGCGGAATGGACTTGCTTGACTTCCGGTCCTGAAAGGTCGCGAGTCCGGGTCCAAATCCGACTCCTGGAAACCGACCACTGATCCGAGTCGCCTTCTTTCCAGGCATTGCAAAACCAACAGGCCATGCATCCAGTGCCACCTAAACAAACAACGGTGGGAGCTCGCTGGCGGGTCGCAAGGCGACGGCTCGGGCAGCCGGCCGTTGTCATGACGACCGCAGTCTGCAGCTTACCATGGCTTCGAATGCAGCCGTAAGCAACTAGGCCACGCTAAAGACACGCTGACGAAAGCTGAATGCCTGTGGGAGACTGTATACATTACCGAGTGCAAGAGAAATAATCCTGCAACAAGAACTAAGGCCGGGCGCATGGCGTTATAAACAGAGCGCTACAAAACCACGCCGACATGCTCGCAGGGTGAACATGCCCATCGGTAGCTTGGTGCAGATAACCCGCCTTTGCACTGGAACGGCACATCAATTTTGCTTTTTTATATTGTTGCCACTCAGATAAGACGGTAATATTGGCCTTATTCCTCAGAAAACCCAGAAGAATGGATATATCATTAGAATGATATTTCAGCAACATGCCTTTACCGAAACAATAGCAGAAGTGAATTCAGAACAGCCAATTTTGAATTCACTTCTGCTACTGCTTCGATAAAGACATGTTTCCGAAATATAAACGTAACTATATCTCCATTCACCTGTTTTTCCGAGGAATAAGGCCAATACTTCTGTCTCATCTATGTGAATAATGTTCCTCGCCAATGCACTGAACAACTTACGTTATTTTTGTCATCCGTTGACTCGCTCTTCGCCCCACATTTATCACCTTCGTCCTACGAGGGAAGCCTCGAAAGTCCCCTAATGTCGCAAAAGTCTCCTTACAGTCCAGAAAGAAGAAAGCCTCACACCTACGGAAAACGGCCCGGCCGCACCGCGACGCGCCGTGAATAGATGGCACCACTTGTACGTTATCCAATCCGCTGTTCTGCATGACAGGGAGCGTGGCCCGGAACGACCAGGGCAGCACGCCTGCGAGACCGCGTTTCCCATTGGCAAAGAACCTACTTGAGTTGCTACCTATGACGTCGCAAGTGCATACGTCATGCGCAGCGACTATCCTTCCAGCCGCAGGAGCTGTCATGACGCACTTTCCTCTTACGTCATAGGTCGCAACTTGTGGACGGCGTTCTCATTTATTGCATTCTCGGTTTCGATAATTTTCGATGCACTTTCGCCTCGAGAAAGGCTATCGAGGCGAAACCCCTAAAACCACTTGGGGATCTTTATTCGCACCCTGAGACGAGTTGCGCTCATGTACCGGGATGAGACGATCAACAAAAGCACTAAGCACCGAGGCGTCTCACAGCACGCCTCGCGTGGTGGAGCCAGTGCCACCGTCCGACCAACTGAACGATGTGTTTCCAATGTTAATAGGGCAGCACAAACAGACGTGAAACGGCTGCGTATCCATGCTGGGAGAATGAGACTGGACGCTTTTCATGACCGCTACGTGCTGGCAAGTCACGCTGTGTCAGTCCTGGAGCCCATCCACATCGAGAAAAATACGTCCCAAAAGGCCCCTGTGTAGAATAGGCCAAAACGGTGTCGTTTTGAGAAGTAGTCTCATATCCTTTTACAGCAGTCATTCGACACTATGATGGGTACCCACTTGACCTCCTGATAATGCCCTGCGATTAAAACACTCTGTAAATGGGGTCGCGCCTGTTCACCTCGCAATTCCTACATATGGTCAACCACGTGAACAAATCATGATGTATTCTGACATTTAAAACATCCAAACTAGGAGATCAGTTACAAGCTTACTCAACTTTCCAGCAACAGCTAACAAAACGCATGGATTAGACAGTCAAACTGCCAGTCAAGTCAGGTTCTGCAATTCAGATGCTCATTCGGGTTTGATCAGATGGCAAATTGCCATGCTGACTTCGTTAAACTGCCCGGCAGCAGCAAACGAACCACGTCGACCACAGGGTCAGCCAGTCCTCACCACCACTAGAGACGAGGCAAAACGAACATTTCTACAAAGACTGACATCGCTGAGAATTCGAGAAAACACGGCCTGCAGCGGTTTGGTCACATGCAACATCCAAAAAACGAACTGTAGCGGCTCGGCCACATGAAGCATCCAAACGCTGAGATCAGCTGGCGATTTAAGAGACCGGTCATCACCAACCTCGCACAGGTCACCAGAGGCTTTAAACACTATTAATGAAAACACAACACTGACCTGGGTCGACAAGTTCAGACACCCAAGACAAATTCGGAGTGTCGCACCGGAGCCGGCGACAGCGTCAACCGAGATCCATTATCAGTACTCTTAGCGCGAGTAAGCCTATCTGGTATAGGAGCTGCTTCGTCCACTAAACGAGGCTTTTCATCAGCTTCTGGGCTATCTTCGAGACTCTTGGAGACTGACGGATCCCACACACAGTCCATTCATTGAATGTTATCACTGCATGTGCTGACCTGCACTCGACTTGCTGAGCAATTTTGGACGCGGAGGCACCGAGACAGAACGAAGAGGCGAAACGCGTCCTCCTCGTCTCGTACAGCGCAGCCGTCATTACCCTCCACAATAAGGCCATCCTGCGGGTCATCAAAGCAAAGGCACGGCCGAGATGCATCTCCGTCCTCCAGCACGACGTCGTTCCACGTGCAGTTCAAGCAACACCTGGGAACGCCTCCAGTGATCTCTCTGAAACACATCATATTTCTGGAGCACTAGCCACCCGGCGGCGGTATCGTATATTACGGCGATCACGACAACTTCCACAGACTTAACTGTTACAAAATTGTTGAAGGGAATGCTTCACATGTGAAGACATGGAAGCAA